CGACCAAGGTATAAACTGCATATCATGCCCCGATCTATTGATATCACAAACGGACCAATCTGTCCATTCATTAGGTCTGTACTCTGTAGGCCTAACTAAAGAAAATGGGCAAACTCTGGCTATGGTAATGTACCTGCTACGGTCGTGTCCGCTTCGATTTAATTTTTTTACTTGACTTCGCGCCACTACCGTTGGGCTGGATATTGTATTATTGCTGTTATTATTATTATTGTCATCGTGAACGTCATCATTTGTTTGTGCCGTAGACATGAAATGTTATGTCTTTGGTGTGTGCACACTGCTCAATGACAATGTACCAACGAGCGCTTCAGACGCGCCGAACTATAAAAATATACATAGGGCAAATCATATTTAACTACATACCCCCCCCCCACCACCCACCTTACCGAAATATTTATTTAGGTTAATTATTATTTCTTAGTTAAGTTAAGATATAATATAATATATGAATAAGATTTGGTATGAATTTATTTCACACTCTGCTACATTTTACAATAAATAAAAAAAGTATGCAAATGCTATTAGTCCCGAACCTTGGTCATAAGGTTTTTTCCCCCATCACTTACCTTTATGTGAGAGCCTTAGTTAGGTACCTACACGGCTGTATATTTATTACATTATATATTACACTATAGTGTAGTAGTATAATATAATCACACATTTTTTTAGCAAATACTGCACACTATTATAGAATAATATTGTCTGATAACATATTAATGCCGAGCCCAGAGAGAATATTATATTCACGATTAAAGTATCCATTTTTTTATTACTTCTGTAAATTTCAAAGCCTAATTTTGAATTTTTTTCATATCTCGACACTTCTAGAGTTTTATATTAAGTTTTAGTTTAACCATTAAGACTAAAAACACTATTGTGAGATGCCGGACAAAAAATTGACTCGCGACAGTAGTGTATCTAAATGGCCTATTCGTAGAGTTCTGTGTTCTGAATTGTATAGATTTAAACACTCCGAATAATATTATGTTTCGGAATCTGAAATAAAAAATGTATCGTGTCATCCAAAGAATTCAAAAACTCGAAAACTGATAACAACATATTATGTTATAATATCTATCATCTATGGCAAAAGCTAATCGTCGTCACTCGTCGCCCGTCGGGGACGATTCACTAATCTAATAATTTAATTGAACAAAAGAGAAATGTGTAAGGCAACAATAAACATTTGCTCACATATTCCATTCTACTCAAGTAATTTTTATAAAAAATCTCGATTTTTCAGTTCGGGTTTAGATGAAGAAAGAAGTTCCTCGATATGGCGTCTGTACTCAAGATATTATGGCCTTGCAGCTATATATTACCCGAACAGTCGATGTATACGTAAGTTTGATTACATATTCTTTTGGGGCTTACATATTTTACTTTTAAGTCTCAAAATTAAAATTTATTGTCACAGACTATTTGCTACCCGGGTAAAGTTTGGGGGCATATTTTTTGTTCCCGAGCGCGCAACACAAAAATATACGCTTATAGCACAAACGAAGACGGCATATCCAGGTCGCAGAATAATAATATATTTAGGTATACAATTAAATAGATATAAATAGTGTTGTACATATACTAGTCATACTTATACAGTAGTACAGTACGCGGGAGTTCTTATGTCCCACAAAATTCAACAATTTTTATTTTTAGTTTATATAAATGTTGAGTAATATATGAATATTACTATGCCGTCTGCTTGGGGTCGAACCGCGAATTAAAGTGACGCCGTCGTACATCAAACATCAAATTATTATATAAAGCTGGGAAAGTCGCTCTACTGATTATTGAATATCTATTGGAAATTAAATAAGGAAATTTTAAATTTTAAATAATCTCGTATAGCTAAAAATGTACCTAACCAATGCACTCAAAATTAATGCTTGAAATATTAATTATTAATTTCGTGCTCGACAGTATTCAGAGAAAGATTTAACTTGGAATTTTACTAAACACAGTTGGTATAATCGGTATACGGTAATATTGTGATGCATTGGGCGCTGAATACCTTTATGTTAAATCTAAAAAGTAGTAATCACATTTATTTACAATAAGATTTTTATTTAATAACTCATAAAAAAATTTGCTTGTGCTTCGAATATTTAAACACCACCTAAATTAATTATTAAATTAAAATTAAAATAATAGGTACTTTATATATTGTTGTAATTTAAATATTAAAATTATAAACTATTTTGGTTATTGTTATACCTTATTTTATTATCTTAATGATCAAATCTCAAGCACGGACCTCCTTGATATACAATTTTGTAATGTACTATATATCTATGGTTTTATCATATTGACGTAGTATAAATTATAATGCAATCCGTGGCGATTGTCAAAGTAGTTGCAAAGACGCAATTGATCTAAAATTTCAGTTAGCAAAGCTGCAGATATGAACAAGAAGCATGAAGCGATCCGTACGGTTTTTTTTTCATAATAAATCTCAATATTTTCAGACTTAAGTTCAGTCGTATATCTGATTTATTCCGCAGTGCACTCACTCACAATATCAGAAATTCTGCCGAAGCCCGAAAGCGTCGATGCTTAAAGTAAATAATTTTGGTTTCGTACTTTTTTTGGTGCTTAAATTTATTTTTTAAATAAAAATTGAATTTCATGAAAAATATGGTTCCCCTACGTACACACATAATATTTTATTTCTGAGAGCAAATGCATAAAATACGAGAGATCAAATAACATACAAACGCCGCTCGTCGTCGTCGTTTTTCGAACTAAGTTCACGTTGTTTCTGTCATCACGTTAATTTGGGAGAGTAGTGCTTAGATTTTTTTCGACAAGCATCTTTTCTATTAGAAATGTGAATAGTATCAGTACTTCGATGGGTCAAAAGTAAAATATTCTCAATAGTTTTCAAAAGCGGCAGGAAAAACAAACAAAAATATTAAGGAAAAAAGCGAATTTTTACGGAAACCCGGTTTTCGACAAAATCGATTTTGGTTTTTGATGTAACTTTCAAAAAAATAAAATAAAATACCGGAGATATACATGAAATTTTTACTGAATATTTATAACGGCGTTTTCTATAAACCATACAATTTTGACAACAAATTTTTATAAGCGTTTGAATTTTGACAAAATAAGTAAAAGTCACGAAAATGTGCAAAATATTTTGAGTTAGAAATTCATAAAAATGTTTCGTTTTATATTTAAGTTTTTACAACTTAATACAATATTCCTTATAAGTTTGTCTGCCTTTACCAAAAAAAAAATTCTACCGGAAAGTCGAATTAAATTTTTATAAGCATTTGATGTTGAAATTTTGACAACATTGGATATTCACTCCATTTCTCATATAGTGATTTTTACTTATTTTTTTTTAATGGAAAAACCAATAATTGCAGATATTTTGAATTCACATAATTTGTTTATATTTTCAATTCATATACTTAACACAATTTTACTGTTTACAAACAATTTGAATTTTGAATTTTTTTAGTTTATTTAGTTTTTTTTTCAGGAGGTTAATAAAATTTTAATAAAATTGTATTTGTTGGGTAAAAAAGCTTGAAAATGCAATAAAATTCTGCTGATAGATATTTATAATGTTAGTTAAAAAATATTTAAAATACATAGGTACGATTTTAGTAATGAGCATTTAATGTTTAAATCTTAACAAAATTCACATCATTTAAAATGTACAAATAATTTTATCATTTAAGATTTTTGAAATATTCAACTTTTGTAGGTTAGGGTTGAAAATTTAAAACAAAGTTCCAAGCAAGTAGGTGATTCTGTTATTAAAAAATCAAAAAAATATCATCACATATTTTTTATGTTCAAATGTGTGAACTAAATTAAAGATTCAATTGCCAAGAATAATGATTTATGTTATTTTGTTGTAAATTAAAAATATTATTTTTTTGGGTACTTGAAACTTTTAAAGTATATTATTATATTTTATACCCACAATGACTTTTCAAATGTACTTTTTTTTTAATGAATTTTATCTACTGCGTGTAGTACTAATACTTACAAGTAAAATAAATTACTTTAATCACAATAATATCATCGAATTTACTAAATTATTAAGTAATATTATAGACTGACAGACCGTCTTCGCCCAGAATCGTTTTTCGTATACAATGATTTTTTATTGTTGAATTCAAACTTAACAACATCCATTACACCATCCGTTACTTTTAACCTAATATACAACAGAGCGACATCCACATACCAGCTTTTTTTAATATAATTTTCAATATCTTAACATTTTTAACTTAACTGATTTTTATTGCTAAACGTATATTAAATAATGAGTTACTTTTAATCAAGTCCTAGTTGCGTAGTTTGTTGTTAAAAAAAAAATTAAATAATAAATATAGTAAAAATTATTATTTTTAATGATAACTACGTATTACATCAAAATTTACTTTTCATTATTTTAAAACCAGAAAACTGACTATTTATGTACGTAAAAAAAAAAGTTGGTTGTAAGTTTCCATATCAGTTTTAACTTGCCGTACCTATAGTGAAGAAATATGGATTTCGTAAGGTATAAAACTTATACGTTCTTGAAAAAAATGTTAAAACACAAATTAACACATAATAACTACGTATAGGTAAGATTAAAGCTACAACTTAAAGAGATTATTTTAGCTATATTATATCTGTTATTTATAGGCGACGTGCATGTGCGCAATATGCGCGCCCTAGTGGACAACATTCGAACTGTTGATGGTATACCGTATACGTCAATTATTGTTAATGGATATTGGCGATATTGCATATCTAACAGTAAATTAATCTAATGTCTTGTTTATGCGATTAATTTACGTATAATTATTAATTAATTTAATTAAGTATAATAATATAGTAATTAATACAATACGTTGGTATTACGGGTTTATTTACCGCATCACAGTCATCTAACTGTAGGCCGTTTTTGTTTTCGGTCAATGAAATCATTTTTATTTGGTAGGTAGGTACCTATTAAAATATTCAAAATTGAAATGAGTAATCAGATCTGTTGTGTTGTTGGTTGTACAAATACATATAAAAACACGACGAATGTTAGTTTTTTTCGTTTTCCTGGTAAACCTCATGAAATTCTACAGAAAAATAAATGGATTCAAGCAGTGAAGCGAAAAAGGTATGTAGGTATCTAAAACTAAAACCCACCTATTTTGAATTAAACCCCCTTGTAAACCTTATATTATAACCTTATGTTTTAATATGAAAAATTAACTTTTACTCATGTAATATGTACTTAGTTTTAACTAAAACTGCATATAATTATAATCATTATATGTGGTAATTATCTGTTAAATTTTAGCTCTAACAATCAACCATGGAAACCGAATCAAAATTCAAGAATATGTAGTGAACATTTTATTGATGGTAAACCATCCAAACACCCAAATAGTCCATCATTCTATCCAACAATATTTCCTAAAATATACAAACAGAATGTTCCAGCACAAGAGAGTGTCAGTCGCTTCAATCGTTTACAAAAAAGAAAATCTTGTAATACAATTATATCTACCAATTCAAGAATATCTAATAATTTAACTGTATCAAATGAACTTGTCTGCCCTGATGTTGTAAAACACACTGAGGATAAATCTACTCAAACTTCTATGAATTTAATTAATAACAGTTTTGAATTTTCTTGTGTCTTTTCCAATAACAATGTTAACACTCAAGCAAATATTGTTGGCTTAGATTCAATTTATTTTAAACCTAAAATGGTTGATAAATGTGAAGGTTTCATCGTTTTTTGGCATTTTACAATTATCTGCGTAGTGTCCTCGCTCGTTACACCTATAGCAAGTAACTCTCTCGGATTCTTTCGCATAGCGGTCTTCTCTATATTTTCCTGGTACTCTTTCTCGACTATTCTCTCTGCTGTATTGACGGTTTTTTGTGTATCGTTTTCCTTCGTCTTTGTTTTTACCATACTGTTTGTAATTTCCTCTTGTTTCCCTGTCTTGATCGTCTCTATGTTTATACGTTTTAAAATCTCTGTCGTAACTTCTGTCTCTACTACTTTCCCTAGAACTATCATAATTGTTTTTTCTTTCTCTTGAGTATGATCTGTCTCTATTGTAACTGTTGTCTTTGCTATTATCTCTATAATATCGATTATACAGCTTAGAGGGGTAAGGACTATTATCTCTTTTATTGTAATTCCTCTCTTCGCTATCATTTCTCCAACGTGGGTATGGACTATTATCTCGGTACTCACGTTTATCATTGTCGACGTCTCTATTCCTATTGTAACTTCGTCCTCTGTTTTCATTATAATCGCGATTATTATTTTTTTGTTTATTGTTGTCATCAAAATATACCGATCTTTTTCTTAATAAGTTTATTTTTTGTATTTCGTCACTTAATTTGTTTATATTTATTTTATTCTCTCGATCTCTAGAAAAACTGTCCTTTATTTGCCTTTTCAATTCATTATTCTCTATTTCTATATCTTTTGTTTTTTGGTTTAATTGTAATACTTGTTCATTTAGAATTTCTGTATATTCACTCATATCATCTTTTTTATTTTTTATCCTAAACTGCATAAGTTCAAATTTTTTTAAATTTTCTTTTAAGTTTTTTAAGCTATTATTGTCTTGCATCGAAATTGATTTTAAAATGTTATTCTTTAAACCTTTTAAAATATATCCACAAATATCTTTTTCACTCATGTGCTTATTTACCTGCCTACATAAACTTTCTATTTCAGCTAAGAAACTTGTGGTAGATTCATTTTCCCCTTGCCTACGTTTTTCTAGTTTGATTTGCAATATAGTGTCATGTCCTATGGGTTGAAATTCATTTAAAAAAATTTCTTCTAATTCTTTCCATGACCAATTTCCTTTTTGGTCTTCAAGATTTTCTAAAAAGGTACTGGCTGTGCCTTTTACAAAAATTGAAAAGTATTTTAGTTTGTCGTTTTCATTCCATTCATTAATGTCGCTAATCTTATTATATTGTTTAAAAAATTTTCTAACGTCCTCAGTCCCGGTGAAATTATCAGGTTTAATCATAAGAGTTTTTTCATTCATTCTCCTTTTGCTCGGTGGAATTGGTGGGGGTAGAATAGAATTGGTGTTTAAATTAGGATTAGCTTGATTATTTGTTGAGTTATCTTTGTTGAACACTATTTCCTGATATATGTGTTTTGAATTCTTGGGAGAAGTAATAGAATCCTCAAAATGTATTAAGGTATTTTGATATAATTGGGTGCTTTGATCTTGAGAGTTACTATCAGATTTGTTTGAATTTCCTAAGATTTTTTCAACTCTATTTGAAAATGAATTTAAACTATTGTTTAAGTTGTCGTATAAGGCTAATGATGTTGAGCAAGTAGCTGATGGGTTTTTATTGCTGTCTTTTTGATCGGGACTTGAATCGGATAGCTCAGCGTCTTTCAGTAAATTTTTTAAATCAATTTTATTAGTGATTGAATTATTTAGAATTATATTACGTTTTTCAACGTCTAATGAATCATCCACGTCTTCCAAAGTTATAGCTCCTCTTAAGTATCTACTTAGTCTAGCTCTTAATTCGGTAGTAGTTCCAGTAGATTTTAGATTTTTATTTTCGCAATATTGTATAAGAAATGGTTTTTTGAGTGTATAGATATCTGTTGCTGTGTTTATCGTAATAGAAAGATCCGATCTAGGGTCTTTAAGTTGACTCATTAAACTATAAATTTTAAAAATTAGTTTAAATAATCCTAAATCTATACTTGGTCATATAAAATGTGTTAACTATAATTAATTAATTACAACTAAAATTATATACTTAAATTATAACATTTTTGAAATCCTGAAAAAAATTTAATTAATTAAAGTTTTATTAAATATAACGTAAGAAAAATTTATTTGGAGTGTTCATACAGCCAATTTATACTACTAGATTAATTATATTAAACTATAAAAATTAATTAAATAATAACTACCCTCTCTAAAATTAAAATATAATTAATTAACGCTAATAATAATAAAAAAATTGATAACCGAAGTATTCGTAAATATAGATCACGAATATATCAATTATAACCAAACACAAATATTCACCTCGAGTGTGTAAAACACCAAAATTGTGGATCTAGTTGGTCGTAGTCTTCCTGTTGTGGCCCGTGAGAGTTCAATCTGATGAAAAGTTTAAAACGCGATATGTGCAAAGGTAAAACACACAAAAATGACTTGTATTTAATCAACACAAAAACAAACAAAAACACAAATGCTCAAAACTAATTCGGGTAGTGGATTACGAATGACGTTGGGCGCCACTGTCGTATACCTATCTCTCGATGGTACACAAAATAATTGTTAATAATTTTCACACTATTAAATCACTTTATTTAAACAAAACAAACACAAAAATATTAAACTAGATGAAGCATTTACAAACATGCGGACCTGGCTAGAAAAACCACACTGCCCCCGTACCGTGGTTATTATGTTCTTAAATATAATTTTACAAACTGCTGCCTCAGCTCATTTGCTTCGTTGGCCTATTGTTAAGAATAATGAATATAAAAACAATTTAACTATTTAGCATAAAGGAATATTGGTACATACAACACAATTTAAAATTAAAATACAAATCATTTATCATTTTTATATAAATAATACACCAATATAAATTTCTAAATTTAAACATTTAAACACTTAAAGTTTAAGTTTAATTTTATTGATATCAAAACAACAACAAACATTACATTATAATATGGTATAAACATGTAGGTATATATTTTGAAAAGTTACATTTTTTTTGCACCAACATATAAAACCTTATAATCCAAAATGGATTGTTAATTGTTTTAAGTAATATTTAAAATAAAAATGATTCATTTTATAAATACAATCCTTTAAAAAAACATCATCTCTCTTTATATTAATTAAAATACATTCATACTTGCTTGAATAAATAAAAAGATCACAGTATTGCAAACCACAGCAGTACATCAAAACTTGGCACTGAGTATAGTAAATGTGGTTTTTTTTTAACATAATAACTCCATTACTATCTTTAATTAAATAATTTAAATTACATTCTCCTGCATCAGTAATAATTGGTTGATTAATGCAAGAAATGGGACATTTTATTTCCAACACTTTTATAGGTTTTCCATCAGACATGACAATTCCATCCGGACTTCCACACGACCAAGGATTTAAATGATTTATAACTAAACCACATTCATAAACTTCAAGCTCATACATTTCTTTATACTTTTTAAGTGCAATTTTTTCATTTTCATTTCCATAGTTAACATTTTTTAGACCTTTGCCAAACATTGGCTTCTTATTTATTAAAGATATGGCTAATTTTTCATAATTTCTTAATCTGATTTTTACCAAATGTGCTCTGCTAGCTGACAATCTAATTGCCCTTTCATCAAACCATGCCTGACTGTTGGACTGTTTTACTGTATTTATACAAATGTTCATGATCTTATTTTTAGACAATTTAACATTGTTTTCATAAAAAGTTTCAGTTATTTTATTTATAAAATCAGGTTTAAAAATATTTTTTTCTTGTTTTTGATTTATCAAAATCTTATTTATGAGGAATGTGGACTGTTCTAAAGTTAATGACTCTAAAACATTTTCTATTAAATTATTTAAGACTTCAGATACAATATTTTCACACTCTGATTTTTTTTCTTCATCATAGACAATTTTAATCAAAGATGGTGTTATGAAATTAGGAATTGTGTTTGTATGGGTGCACTGTGTCAACTTATCAGACTTAGGTGGAAATAGTTCCTCTATTCTTTTACCCTTACAATATTTTTCTTTTCCTGCCTTTGAAATTTTGGGTTCATTCCATTCGCATCGATCACTTGTTTTAGAATGACCACTCTCTGTATTTATATAATGTGTTAATGCATATACATGTTTGCATTTTCCACCAATACCTGCTGGACATTGACATACAGCTTCTACAACATCTCTGTTAGACCCATTAACCTATTATATAATTTAAGAACTTTAGATTATTCACTCCAACTACATTTTGAAGTTTGAACACAATTATTATTTATTTAAACAGAATATTAATGAAATCAGAAATATTACAATGAATTTACAAGACTAAATTAAACTTACTACGAGTTTCACTAGATATGGATGCAACGTAACTGAAGCTTGCCGTATAACATGGCCATTAATTTGACTATTGTTACCTAATAATATTTCTTTAACGTTTATCACATGGTGACTTTTCACCAACAGTTTTCCTTTACTCTGGACATTATCAGAAAAGCCACTACTAATAATAGATTTAAATCCTGAATAAAGAGTTATACATTGACTCATATTTAAATACCGAATCATCAATCAGAGTTAACATAATAATATTAATACATTACAGGCTACAGCCAATTTAAAATTGTAAACATTAATTTTCATAACAAAACACTATTATCTAGTTTCATGGGATGTTATTGATTATGGTAACTAGTAAACATACTATTATTAAACATATTTATATCTTTTAAAAATGATTAGTTATACGCAATTACTTTTTTATGTAATGTAATAAAATTATTAATAAATAAAGTATTGATATCATATTGTACAGTGTACACTGTTGTCCCATCATAAAAAAAATTTTTGTCCACCATGCGCGCTTGAGTAGCATTCATATCAAATG